CTGCGGGGCCATGGCGGAGCCGCGGCCGGGGCTGGTGCTGCGCTTCCAGCGCCGCTTCCTGGCGGCGCGGCCGCTCAGCTCGCTGCCCTGGCCGGTGCGGAGGGGCCGGGCGGGCGGGCGGCGGTGTCTATTTATTTATTTATTTATTTACTTACTTACTTATTTATTTATCCTGTTCTAGGAACTGGAGCAAAGCCTGCGGACTGCGCCGGGCTCGGCGCTGCTGGCGGATATCCTGCACGAGGTGAGGGGCGGCCCGCGGTCCCCCCGTGCCGGCGGCGGGCGGTGCCGCGCGTGTTCCCGAGCCCCCGGAACGCTCAGAACCGCGCGGTTGGTGATCCGCTGTCGCCGTGTTTCCTTAGGCCCCGCAGAACTGCCGAGCTCCTTCTTTGCCCGGAATTTGGGTGTTCTTAGATCAGAACTGAACCCGCGTGCCAGAGCGCTGATGTGGTGAATGGCGCAGTCAGCGCAGCCGTTCCTGGGTGTTCGGGATACAGGGAATGCCTGGACTGTCCCTGTGGAGGGAGGTCACAAATCAGGCAGCAAACCAAAACGGAAAGAAGAGAAGGGCAAAAGAAGGAGGAGAGTAAATTGAATTCTTTTCACTCTATTTTCCTCTTTGCTCTATTGAAAAGTGATATTTTTGTTGCCACAGAAAGTAAGAAATCTGTGCCCACAGTTCTGTAAGCTCACAAAGCTGTCAGAAATCACCCCATTTCAATTTCTAGCTTAGCATCTCTTGTACTGACTAAATTCCAAAGCATTTCATGGCACCCAGACCCAATTAATGGTCCTCCTGTGGTCCTTAATGCCTTTCCTAACCCCTGCCCTGGGTAATTGCTTTCCATGGCTCTTCTCATTGTAGACAATTCTTCACCCTCTGTGTGTGAAATATCCCCCTTCAGCCAAGTACAGGAGGTGCTTCCTGACTGAGCTCATCAAAAAGGTACTTCTTGCTTTTCACCTTATTTTTCACTTGTTTTTCTCTTTTTTCCCCTTGAGGATACCTCATGTAATAACCAACCACAACCTTCAGTGTAAATACACTGTACTGAAATGGGGCTTAGAGTGCAGCTGTTTTCTCTTTCATGACAATGTGGTGCTCAGAGCTGCCCTGTTCTCCCCCACAGCATGAATCCACAGCAGCTGAACCCCTGGATGAACTCTATGAAGCACTGGCAGATGTTCTGAAAGAAGAAGAAGGGTCGACTCACTGTTACAAAAGCTACTTACTGGTAAAAACTGACACTGCACTGTTCTAAACCAAATTTACTCACCAAACTAAGCAATACTTGGCTTTAAAACACCCATCCTGAAGCCTGGAGTGCTTCCTGCCTTTTTGCAGGTGCTCCTGTTGATTGTAAACTCTAAGTGGTGGCCTGTGCTGATGCATCTTTGCCCTGCTGTGTCCTGCAGCCCTCGGGGGACAGCGTGAGCCTCTGCGAGAGCACGGCGCTGGTCTGCGGGGGCACCACGGGGCTGCTCACCTGGGAGGCTGCCCTGCTCCTGGCACAGTGGGCACTGCAGCACCCCGGCCTCTTCAGGGGCAGGTATGGCAGCAGCAGGGCTGCACAGAGTGGTCATTCCTGCAGGATCCACAGTGCTTTGGCTGGGAAGGGACATCATTCCATGGCAGGGACACCTCCCACTGTCCCAGGCTGCTCCAAGCCCTGCCCAGCCTGGCCTTGGGCACTGCCAGGGATCCAGGGGCAGCCACAGCTGCTCTGGGCACCCTGTGCCAGGGCCTGCCCACCCTCACAGGGAACAATTCCTGCCCAATATCCCATCCAGCCCTGCCCTCTGGCAGTGGGAGCCATTCCCTGTGTCCTGGCACTCCATGCCTTGTCCCCAGTCCCTCTGCAGCTCTCCTGGAGCCCCTTCAGGCCCTGGCAGGGGCTCTGAGGTGTCCCTGGAGCCTTCTCCTCTGCAGGTGAGCACCCCCAGCTCTGCCAGCCTGGCTCCAGCCCTGTGATACTGTGAGCTACACAACTGTAATTTAATAACAGATATTTAATACCCTATGCACCCTAAATAACTGAAATTACACCCTTTTGCTGCTGAGTAATTGCTGCTCTTGTCTGTTCTGCTAAACTTCAACCCAGGAGAGGACCTGGTTTAGGACATGGTTTGGGATCAAACCCTTGCACTGTGCTGTCTGACCTGCTCTGTGAGGTCAGCTGTTCAGTTTTCAGTAATTTAATTAATGACCTTCACTCCATGATGGGATTCACCAGGGATTATCTATGTTAGATGATTACTGTGCAGCTCTGATCACATCGTTTTTACTTCATGTATAAGCAGTCAAGATGAGCAAGGACTTTGGAAGAAAGATAATTAGTAATAGTTAAGCTCACAGGGGAAGGAGCTGTACTGCTCAGTGTCTGCTTCCCTCCACTGACTAAAAACTGGAGAGCCAGCTCAGGTGGAAACAACTGTGCTGCAGATGGCTAAAGCCAGGTGGGAATGTCTCTCCTCCCTGTGGTGGGAATGTTTGTGCCTTACAGAAATCAGCATTTCAGCTAATTAATTTTCTGCTGACACTTCCACCCTCAGTTATTCCCCACCCTCCAGTTGCTTGGAACAGAGGTTAGATTGTGGATGGTTCACTCAAAAATTATTGTAATTATCTGGAACTGATTTTACCTTTAATTATATTTATAATGTTTTGATTTCTAACTCATTGCAGGGTCCTGACAGTACTTTTTACTCCATTACCCTCAGGACAGTCCTGGAATTGGGGAGTGGGATTGGCTTCACTGGAATTGCCATCTGCAAGACCTGCCAGCCCAGGACATTCATATTCAGTGACTGCCACCCCCGTGTCCTCAGACAGCTGGGGGAAAACATCCAGCTGAATGGCTTCACCCCAGAGCCTGACGTGGCCTGGAGCACCCAAACAGAGCCCCAGGGACAGGAGGTGCCAGGACAGAACTGCCAAAACCCAAAAGTGATTGTTGCTGAGCTTGACTGGGGCTCAGTGACAGAAAAACAACTGCTGGCTCTCAGAGCTGATGTTGTCATTGCAGCAGGTAAGGCACCCACAGGGAGCAGGCTCAGCAACCCCAGCAGCCTCCTGGGGAGCAACAGAATAATAACAGCCAGCTACAGACTTCTTTTGTACTTGTCTGTGTGTAAATTCAGAGGGAGTTTTGTGAAAAAATTCAGCCATAGTGACAGTAGGACGATGGGGTGCTGCCTAGTGAGAGCAGAATGTGTCAGCTGTAGGTCTTACACCCTGATTTGGAGCTTTGCAAAGAAAAAACTGAGAATCCAGGTGCAAAAATGACTTGGGCATCCCAGGTATCACAGGATGCAGTGAATGGGCATTCTATAAAAGGAAGTCACTGCATGGTGACACTGCTCAGTGCCCAACCCAGCCCCAGCTGGACTCTGAAGGCAAGAACTGAGGGGCACTGACCTCTCCCTGCCATTTGCTGTTACTCACTGCAGCAGGATGTGCCCCTAGCACGAATACCTGCAGTGGACACACACTGCACACCTCTGGGTAGGAAACAGCCCCCCTGAGCATCTGCATTCTGCTCCCCTTGGTGTTCCCTGACCTCTCACCAGCATTTCTGCTCTCTGGGGAATGACTGCAGATGAAACCTTCTGCAAGTCCTTGGCCCCAGCCTCTCAACCACTCACTTCTAACGAGGCAGGTTTGTTTTGCCAAGGGCAAAACAGAGCACCAACACTTAGTGGTTCTGCTGCCTCCCTTAGGATGGGCTTAAATAAAATATCTGACAATCCATTTACTAAAAGGAGCACTGATTTTTAGTGATGAGGGCATAGTCCATAAAATGTCAATATTCTCTTGCACTGTGAAGATTTTATTTCTGCTTTGCGGTTTTTATTCTGGTTTTGCTCAATTCTCAATAAATATTGTATGTTTCTTTTTTTCTTTTTTATAGATGTGGTGTATGATCCTGAGATAATTTTAGCCCTTGTTGGGATGCTACAGAAACTCTCCACCTCCAGAGCAGGCAGGAAAGCTCCTGAGGTGTTCATTGCCTCCACAATCCGAAATCCAGACACGTATCAGCTCTTCCAGGCTGAGCTGGGTGGGTGCCTGCTCCATCCAGGGTTCAATAGTTTTGCCTTTTTGCCTCTTTCCCCACTGTTCTGTGGTAGAGAGGAGCAGGAGCATTTTCCAAGAGCAGGATCTTATCCTAGAGCTGGATTTAAGAGCAGCAGCTTTTGCACATGGATTTCATCAGGAGCTTGGAACTCACCTTTAGGTGCATCCTGGCTATCACAGCTCACATCTGTGAGGGATGATTTGTAAGTCTGGTGCCAATAGGAAAATAAAAAGAGGTTTAAGCTTACAGGAGGGAGCCATCAGTGATAACACCTGAGATGCTGCCTAAACCCTTTATCTTATCTTACCTGTTCTTTGACTTGACTATTTTCACCTTTTATCTTTTGACAAAAACCCCCAACTAGAGATTAAATAAAATAGAGATTTGGGGATTTTTCTTTATAGAAGCTTCTAAAGCTTATCTTTTGCAGTGTCTTTGCTGTTCAGCTGGTGTTCACCAACTGGACCTGATGATCCCTGTGGGTTCCTTCAGCTCAGAATATTCTGTGAAATTCTGCTTAATTCACAAAGTGACACTGAGTGTTCAGCAGAGGCATTAATGGGATTTTTAAATAAACACTCATAAGCATTTTCCTGACAATCACAGCATGCTAAAGATCTCTTTTTACAGAACTTGTCTTGCAACTTCTGCTCTTCCTTTTCTTAGACATAAATATGATTCCCAGTGTTTCTCTTCACAGATAAAGCTGGGATCAGGTGGCAGGTGATTCCAGCCCACAGCAGCTGTAATTTCCTCTATGATGTGCAGCCAGATGTGACTATTCTACAGCTATTTATATAGGCTTGGCAAACAGAACTGGAATTTTGAGACCAACAGGAGCTGCCTCAGCCTTGTAACAAGATTATCCTGAATTCTGGAAATGAGGTTCTGAGGATGCAGCTGGACAGACACATGGAGTCCTTCCTTCCTTCCTCTAATTCCCAGCATGGATCCAAGCCTGCAGCTGCCCCTGGGAAGTGACTGAACCTCAAGCAACAGAAACCAAAAACCCCAATCACACTTCAGTTGGATTCTGTAGAAGACAGCAGAGTTCAAACAGGTTTTTTTCCCGTGTTGTGATTTGTGATTGGGGGCAACCTGCAGATCACAGGATGAGGATCTCCCACAGACAAGGGAGCAAAGCAATCTTTCAGAGTAATCTATGGGTTTTGGTTTTAAAACCTGCTGTAATTGTCTACTCTGGTGGTTTATGTCTGTGTGTACTTGCAGTTGGGGTTAGCTTAAAAGCCCCCAATAAACAGTGACCAGTTCCTGTAGTTGTGCCCAGGATGACTCTGCTGTAAATCAGGTGCATCTTTACTCTGCAGTGATGACAAGTCAGAATTGATGTCCCTTTGTCTCACAGCCACTTCCACAGTGGCTGCTGGGAATGAAAAAGGAATCACTCTCCATAGCAGAGTTCCAGGTATCCTGCAAAGGGGAAGGACTGAGCTCCCCTGCTCTGAAACTTCTCATCATCCATTAATCACTCTCCTGTCGGGCAGAACTGGTCCTGAAGCATAGAAATCAAAGTGATGCTCATTCTTCTTTTAGCTTCCTTTTCTCTGTTAAACACTACTTAAATTTAAAAACTTCAACCTCCTCCTTCTGTAGCAAGGGAGAGAAAACTGATGATACCTAACTTGGAACCTGAAGAATCTTCTTATTCTTCAAGCTAAAGGAGACCATGACTGCTGGGATCAAGCAGAAATAACCCAGCCCAGGTTTTGGCTCCCTGTCCCCAAAGAGAAAGACCTCAAAGATGTTATTTCCAGAGTAAGCACAAACTGGCAGCTTACACAGGAGTTCCTTTATCTCCCCTTACGCAAAATTCAAGACAAAGGTTCTGTTCAAAGCTCATTTTGGATTTAAAAAGTTGTTATATGAAGAGGAAAGCTTTTGGCATTACTGCTTAATTAGAGAAGTGCCTAATTTACCTCCATGTGCACAGGCTGAAACTTCTCATCATCCATTAATCACTCTCCTGTCGGGCAGAACTGGTCCTGAAGCATAGAAATCAAAGTGATGCTCATTCTTCTTTTAGCTTCCTTTTCTCTGTTAAACACTACTTAAATTTAAAAACTTCAACCTCCTCCTTCTGTAGCAAGGGAGAGAAAACTGATGATACCTAACTTGGAACCTGAAGAATCTTCTTATTCTTCAAGCTAAAGGAGACCATGACTGCTGGATCAAGCAGAAATAACCCAGCCCAGGTTTTGGCTCCCTGTCCCCAAAAACAAAGACCTCAAAGGTTTATTTCCAGAGTAAGCACAAACTGGCAGCCTACACAGGAGCTCCTTTATATTCCCTTAAACAAAATTCAAGACAAAGGTTCTGTACAGAGCTCATTTTGGATTTAAAAAGTTCTGTTATGTGAAGAGGAAACCTCTCTAAAGCTTTTGGCATTACTGTTTAACTAGAGAAGTGCCTAATTTACCTCCATGTGCACAGGAATGGCCAAACCTCTAGACAGGATTTTGACTAAAAACAGGAAAAAAACACTAAAAATTGGCAAATCAATGTTCATGGATTATTCTTCAATCAATAAGCTGGAGGTTTTGCCAAATTCCTGCAGTAAAGCAACTTGACCCTATTTTCACCTTTTCTCTTTTGACAAAAGCAGATATTCAATAGTTGCTCAGAGTTTAAAACTGCTGGTGCAGCAATGTTCATGGATTATTCTTCAATCAATAAGCTGGAGGTTTTGTCAAATTCCTGCAATAAAGCAACCTGACCCTATTTTCACCTTTTCTCTTTTGCCAAAAGCAGATACTCAATATTTGCTCAGTCAGAGTTTAAAACTGCTGGTGCAAAACCCACTGTCCTCACCTCCCACCCTGAAGCAGCAGCTCTGAGGAGCAGTAAACACAGTCTAAGCCAAGCACATTTACCAATGACTGACATGTGATGATGACATTTTATCATCAAAAAGGTGATGAAAAAAAACCCTGTAAGCTTTAGGCTTGCATGTGAATACTGAGCTTAATAAAAAGCTGAAGGTTGTACCTGAGTAAGCACTCACAAAGCAAAGTGCCTTTTGGCTAAGTTATACATACTTTGTTCTTGTGTTTTGGGTTTATTTTTCCCTTTTCTGTTCATCTGTTCAAGAAGAGATTAATTTTATGTTCTTTCCCAAGATAGATGGGCACATTCATTTCAGAGTACAGGGAGGACAACTCACTGCAAGCTCTGCTTTGCTCTAAGTGCCCAGTAAAGCTGTCACACACCAGTGCTGTGCTTCCACACTCTTGCACACACTGTCAAAAGGAAAAACAACTCTGAAACAAAATGCTTCTATCCCAATAAAACTATGCAGGAGGATATTCAGTGCTTGGGAAATTACTGGCCATCAAACTGACCAGCTGAAATGAAACAACTCAAATGACAAACATCTGCCATGTGCCAAATAAACCATACCCAAATCACCTGCTAAAGTGCTGACTGTACAGAAGGTGAAGCTGGTAATAGTTTCTATCTCTATTCAAGGATCTTCACCAAAAAGGGCCCTTCAAGCAGCACAGGCTCTCACACAACAAACAGCCTCAGCACCCCCTACTCACCCAGGCAGCTGAAACTGTAAAGGAAGAGTGTGAGAGCCAAAACAAAGGAGTTAGAAACTAAGTACAGACAATACAAAGTTTATTCACGGTTTCCCAGATCCCTGCAGCTGCAGGGATGTTTGACCCCCTCCTTCCCCCAGTCACTCCTTGCTGCCCAGCAAGGGCAGGACAGTGTGGTCCCAGCTCTGGTCCCAGCGCAGCTGCTGGGACACTCGCAGCTTCTCTCGGAAGCTGGGAAGTTTCCCTTCCAGGCTAGGGAAATCCAAGAAAAGCATCTGTAATTTAAAAAGCAAAACCACAGAAAAATAACTATCATGTTCCATTCCAGGCTCATTCCAGCCTCCCCACTGTTAACCCTCAACTACAGCTGCAGTTCTGGGGTCTGGGCCCATGAAGAGAGAACAAGGACAGGATTTGAACTGCTTCTGCCAGCTTTGGGTTCTCATTTAAACAGAAGTGAGGCCAACAGTGCTCACCAGGCCAGGCAGTGCCTTGTGAGAATGCAAAACACACAGGTGATGTTCAGACCTGAAAAGGCTGCTCACACAGTGGCACCTCTGGGGTTATTTCTGGGGGGAAAGAAATCAGTCAGAGCCTTTACCTTCAGCTGCTTTGCCAGTTCCTGAGAGTCCCTGAATATCAGACCATTCTCATTGTGCTTCACCAGTTCATGTAAACTGAAAAAAAGCCACAAAAGGAGAACTGAGCAGAAAGCAGTGAGTGGGACATTTACAGTGTTGCACAGAGACATCCAAAGGGACCAAACCAAGGTATCTGTATCACTGTGGCCCCACAGCTGACATAATGGAGTTAAACAGGCAGTTTTAAACAGTTAAAGACTTCTTTCTATGTCAGACTAAATCTACCACAACTGTACCAAAGGGCCCTCATTCTGTCTTTGTCCCACTCATCTGGGCATCCATTAAAAACCAGAGCAATGATCTACTTTAAAACTAGATTTTTTTTCCACAAGGATAATCTGTACATGGTCCATCATGAAATCTTCACAGGAGTTTTATCTTCTTTTATAAAGCTACTGTTTTCCCAAAGGATCATAAATTCCAATAATGCCCATGCATACACTCAGCCTTGCACAGAACAGATATATCTATGCAGAAGAAAGATTTTTTAAAATTAAATATATGGAAACAATGGAATACAGGGATTTTTTAAAGGAAGTGCTTGCATTAAATTCTCCCAATTTTGTAGAAACTAGTATTAACTTTTAAACTTAAACCAACCTTGATTTCTATCTTATTTAATTTTAAAAAAATGGCAAAATGCAGGGATCTCATTGAATTCCTGCAGTAGCTGCTGAACTCTGGCTTTGTAAGAATATTGTTTTAAGTGATTGCCTTGAGCTGTAACAGAAGAAGCTCTTACCATTCAAAATGTATTGCACACACAGGTAAACAGCAGCCAAACATATCGACCACCTTCATGGGCAAATCCAAGCCACTGGAGGATTTATGGAGACACACCCCCAGGTCTGCTGAGCCTGAAATCAACACAACACAGTCTGAACTCTCTGAAAGCAGCTCCTCTGTCCTCCTGCAAACCTTCCTTTTTGTGCTGCTTTGGATGGAGCAAGTGAAACTTTCAACTACCCAGACGCAATTTCAAGCCACAGGAATTCAGCAGCTTTGCTGGAGTGAGTCAAATCCATGAATATCCTGTCACTAACCAGCAACATTCCTGACTATTTTCTCCCAGCCTGCATCAGCTCCCTGCAACTGTGCTGTTTCCCACACATCCCCCAGCCTTTTCCATCACCCACTATTTACCAAGCAGAAGAGGGTAATCCTCAGCCTCCAGCCATGGTGTACAGATCTGGATATGCCTAAAGTGCAGCTTTTGGATCAGTCCATTGTAATAATCTTTTAGAGGTCCTTTGCCTGTGTAAAACAGGAAAAAATGTTTTATCAAGATGACTGAAAACAGTGTGGCCTGTGAAATGCAAGCTTCTGTTGGATCAGGTGCACAAACAGGATACAACACTTGTGGTACCCTAAAAAGATGTGAAAAATCTGAAGTTCCCTTGAAAGCAATGTGCACATGGACTTCTCTTACTCACTATTTCAATTAGTTTCCCATCAATGTAGAGTCATGGAGTTTTTAAGGTTGGAAAAGCCCTCTCCCATAAAATCCAACTGTTCCCCAGCACTGCCAGGGCCGACACTGACCCACACCCTGAATGCCACATCCACAGGGCTTTCAATTCCCCAGGGATGGGGACTCCACCACTGGCCTGGGCAGCTGGGCCAGTGCCTGACCACCCTTCCCAGGAAGGAATTCTCCCAATATCCACTCTAAACCTCTCCTAGCACAGCTTGAGGCTGCTTCCCCTGACATTGTTTTTGCAGCATCATCTCAACATTGACCTTAAACTGTTTTTCATGCAGAGCTGGATCAGACAGGGAGGTTCTTTAAGGGTGGATGGTGCAATAACTCAGCTATAAATCACTGTCCTGATAACCAGACACAAAGGCAACAGTCCCTCCAGCAACAGAAGAGTCAGCACAGAATAAAGTGACAACTAAACCTTCTGAAGAATTGTAACACAAACATTCTCACCTGTTATCACACACACTAAAGCTGGAAGCTTGGCTCCCTCCTCAATAAACCTCTCGTAATCTGGAGAAGATAAAACATTGGTCAGAGCTGACAAAGCTCAGGGTGCTTGGCTGAAGAGTGGTGACAATGCATTAATTATTGAG